ATTTTTAACTTATATACTAAAAACATAAATTAAACAAATTTAATATATACATATGGGCTTATGAAAAATCAAATCTTGATCACATTATGAATGACCCGAATTCAGGTAGTCCTGACTTTTCGTTTTCTCTCTGTATATATATACACGAGAAATCAAAAAGTAAATGTATCTGAATTCTAAATGCGTGAGTGAAATAGTAAAAATTTATGCCCGATGTCAACCTTGGATTCTCTTTCGAGGCAGTCTGACTTTTCGTTTTCTGTGTATATATATATATATATATATGAGAAATCAAAAAAGTTAATGTATCTAAATTCTAAGCGCGTGAGTGAAATAGTAGAAATTTATGTCCGGTTTCAACTTTGGATTCCCCTTCGTCACACTCTTTTCACGCATGCATTGTTGTTGTCTCTATTCACCGACACCCAAACCCTTCTGCTTTTGTTCACCAAACCCTGCATTATTGAGTTGAGTTACCTAACGTCAAAAGTCTTTGCTACTTATCCAAATCCCAGGCCCACATTCTCCTCATCTTTAATTCCCACCACAAAATGCTCCCTCTTTTTCAGACATCCAAAGGCAAAGGTGTTAACAATATTTAATTTATGATTTTTTTAATTTATATTTTATGTAAATATTAAAAATGTATTTATTATATTTATTAAATATAATAAATGAGTCACCCACTACCTTCAAATTACTTGCTTCTTCTTTTTCATCCCAACCGATCCTTCCTCTCTTAATTTCATCGATCTTTCCAGCATAAAACTCTCCTCCTTTGGATATTCCTTTTCTGCTAAATCTTCTTGTTCGAACGCATCTCCACTTGCATATTCAGCTCCGATCCAGTTAGCATTCAGAAGCAAAGCTTAAGGCGAGGGAGGTATGTAAGTAAATATATTATATATTTATGCTTCTAATTTATCTCCATATATTTTTGCTTCTTATACTTATTACAGTAGAACATCATAGAGGGCTACAACCTTCTCATTAATACTGATTTATTGCTTTTTATCTAAGAGTTACAATATCATGAAATTATTTTAATTACAAAGAACTTAATCAATACTTTAGACTTCTAATGTAATTAATTAATACAATTCACATTAATTTCCTTAAAATAAATTGTTAGAAAAACTAACACAAAAACAATCAAACAATATAGGCAAAACAGAAATTACTACCTCCTTTTAATTTTAGGAATTCTAGTTTGATTTTTTAATTTACAAATATAAATTTTAAATGAAAATTTAATTTAATTTGTACCATTTCGGTTCACTGTGTTTCGGTAGGTTGTGCGTATCAGCTAATAATTTATAAAATAATAAATATTAATGTTTGATTATTCCTCTAGCCACCGACTCATTTTTTTGAGAAAATTGGTGGCAAAGCTTGAATTTTCTCCTTCTCTCTTGCTTAATCAGAAGATTTGGGGCTTAGAATTCTCTCTCTCAACCCAGAAATTCCAGATCTGTTCTGCTCTTTCTCCCTCTGTCCGCTGGCCTCTGCTGTGTGAGGTTGAGTTCGGTTTTTGGTAAGAAATTGCCAAGAATTCGTCCTTCTAGCCTTGATTCAAGTTGGGTTATTCTAATTTCTTTTTATTTCCCTCAATTTTGAGGTAGCCCGTGAGTCCCCTGCAGAATTTGCCGTCGGCTTCTTCCCTCCGCCAGGTCCGGTTCTGCAGCTGGTTGGAAATTCTGGTATGTTGACAGCCCCATTAAGTCCGAAATTACCCATTTAATAGCTGGGTTTTGTCCATTTAGTTGATGCTCTGTGTTGTCCGAATTTTCTGCTGGGAATAGGAGGGGATTCGGCAGTAAATGGGACCATGATTTTGCTTAATTCATGTAGAAGTTAGTTTAAGTAGGCTGTTGTAATGTTCTAGAGAGAAAATCCCATGTGTGTGAGTTGTGGTTTGCCAAAGCCATGCTCTCCATGTGCTGCCCGTGAGAAATGGGGAAATTTTGGTAGCTAAGTTATGTTTTTAAACTTGGTTTAAGTGTAAATTAGCTTGAATTGGGTTGTTGTGATTTTGGAGAAAAATCCGTGAGATTTACTATGGTTTTGTCAATTTTTGGAAGTTGCAGTTACTGTTCACTGCGTAATTACTGTTCACGGTTACGGTTTATAGGCATTGTTCACGCATTGATGGCCAACAATTAACGGGGATTTAAATGTTTAGTTTGTAATATAAAAACAAATTTAGAGATGTCCGGTCATGTGGAGATTGATAGAAATAGCATCTTGCACTACCAAAAAATTCATATTTAGTGACTAAATTATTAATCATTAAATCTTTATTTTTCGTTACAAATTATTATTAGTGATAAAATTTAAATCGTTAATAAAACCCTTGTCACTAATGCTCTT